ATGGCTACAAAATTGAGTTTAATGCAAATTCCTGCGTTTTATATGGCCAAAGCAAAGATGAAATCATTTTTTAGGCTAAAAGAGATGGAAACTTATACATGTTTAATTCCAATGACTTAAGTAACTCATAAATCACTTGTCTAACTACTTCACTTGAATATTCAACTTTATGGCATTGTAGATTAGGACATGTTAGCTATGACCTCTTAAGAACACTTTGTTCAAAAGAACTTGTTGTTGGGCTACCGAAAATGAGCATACCCCCTTCTCGTTTTTTAATTCATGCTCTCTCGAGAAACAACACAAAATTTCATTTAAACCCATTAAAATGGTTTTAACGTCAAGGTCACTTGAACTATTGCATATGAATTTATTTGGGCCCGCAGACGTTCAAATCTTGGGTGGAGCTAGTTTTAGATTTATCATAGTAGATGGTTTTTCTTGTTATACTTGGGCTATATTACTTTCCATTAAAGATGACGCTTTTAATGTATTTGTTAAATTGTGCAAGAAAATTCAAAACGGGAAAGGCTATACCATAACCTCTATTAAAAGTGATAGAGGAGGAGAATACCGAAATACCGATTTTGAAACATATTGTGATGAACACGGTATTTCGTACAACTTTTCGGCTCCAAGGACACTTCAACAAAATGGAGGCGTTGAGAGGAGGAATAGGACATTGCAAGAGATGTCAAGGAAAATGCTAAATGAGCACAACTTACCTCAATATTTTTGGGCAGAGGCGGTCAACACAGCATGCTACGTTCTAAACCGGGTATTGCTTAGACCTATCATTAAAAAGAAACCTTATGAACTTTGGAAAGATAGAAAACGAAACATTGCTTATTTCAAAGTTTTTGGTTGTAAACGCTATATTTTGAATACCAAGGATCATTTAGGTAAATCTGAACGTAAATCATTCGAAGGAATTTTCCTTGGATATTCAACAAATGGTAGAGCCTATAGGGTAATAAATCAAATCATAAAGTAGAACAATCTATGCATGTAAAATTTAATGAAACTGATCCCTTTGGGTCGAGTAAGGAAATTTCAAGTTCAAATGAAGAAGATGATGATGAAGAATCTCTGGAAATTTCCGCTCAAGAAGAAGAAAATGAGGAAAAGGAACTTTCGAAGTTGAGGAATCATCCAAGAGACAATATCATCGAAAATATTGAAAAGGGAGTTAGAACTATGAACAATCACAATATTTGTGCATATTATGCGTTTGTTAGTTAATTTGAACCTAAGAATGTAGAAGATGCATTAAAAGATAGTATTTGGATTATATCCATGCAACTAAAACTAGAGTAATTTGAACGCAACAAGGTTTGGGATAGTCGAAAGACCGGAAAACCGACCTGTTGTGGGCACTAAATGGGTTTTTAGAAACAAGCTCGATGAAAATGGTGTAATTATCACCAATAAAAGTCGACTTGTTGTTAAAGGCTATACCCAAGTTGAAGGACTTAACTATGATGAAACTTTTGCTCCGGCTGCTAGGCTTGAATCTATTCGTATGTTATTAGCTTTTACAAGTTCTCTTAACTTCAAACTTTTTCAAATGGATGTAAAAAGTATGTTTCTAAATCCTGATTTTCCAAATCATGTTTTTAAACTTCATAAGGCTCTTTATGGACTCAAACAAGCTACTAAAGCTTGGTATGAGTGGCTTACCGAACATCTCATCTCACATGGATTTGCAAAAGGAAAGACCGATTCCATACTTTTTGTGAAAACGAAAGGAAAAGATCTTATCAATGTGCAAATTTATGTTGATGATATTATTTTTGGGTAAACTAATGAAGCTTTATGTAATGAATTTTTAGGAATTATGACAAGCGAATTCGGAATGAGCATGATGGGTGAGTTGAATTTCTTTCTTGGAATTCAAATCACGCAACTTGAAGATGACATTTTCATTAGCCAAACCAAGTGTGCCAAAGAACTAGTCAAGAAGTTCAACCTTGAAGACTCAAAAGCATACTCAACTTCAATGAGCATGTCCTTGAAGCTTGATTGAGACGAAAGCGGAAAACCCATAAGTGAAAAGCTATATCGAGGTATGATTGGTAGTTTACTTTACTTTACTGCATCTAGACTCGATATAATGTTTTCCGCTTGCCTTTGTGTACGTTTTCAATCATCACCCAAAGAATCACATCTAAACGCTGTCAAGCGAATAATTCGATATGTCAAGGGAATAACCAATACGGGTTTATGGTATCCCAAGAATACGAATTTAAGCTTGATAGGTTTTAGTGATGCGGACTTTGGAGGGTGTCGCATTGATCGGAAAAGCACAAGTAGCACATGTCAATTTATAGGTCATGCACTAGTGTCTTTGTCATCCAAAAGCAACATTCCATCGCCCTATCCACCGCCGAAGCGGAATATGTGGCTATGGGTAGTTGTGTTGCTCAAATTTTATGGATGATGCAAACACTTGGTGACTTTAACCTAAAACTTTCAAAAGTGTCTATCTTTTGTTACAATTCTGGTGCTATAAATATTTCAAAAACTCCCGTGTTGCATTCTAGGACTAAGCATATAGAAATAAGACATCATTTTATTCAAGATCATGTTGCAAAAGGTGATATTCAAATTGAGTATGTCAATACGCTTGAACAACGTGCCAACATTTTTACAAAACCTTTGGATGAAAACCAATATTTATACATTTGTCGGGAAATGAGAAAGCTCGAATTACAATGATTTTAAGGTTCTTATAGCTCACATTAAACATATATAAAAATTGATCAAGCCAAATTCTCAACACGATCACCAAAAAGGACGGAACAAGAAAAGAAACAGCGGCATGATACCTGTACTGGTAGCTCATACCGATTTAACGGTAGCGGCTACCGTGTCACATGGTATCAGGATATTGTGAGAAGGTTACTAGCAGAAACTCGGGTATCCAAACCAACTTGAAGGCTTCCCAGAGAAGCAGTAAAGTAGGTCCTGACGTTGATACGGTACCCAGATACCGTGTGTCCGGTACACAGGTACCGACCGTGCTGGCGGGATTAAATTCCCTCTTTTTAACCCTAATTCGTCATTTGCACTTCATTACCAGGTCTGCGTTTCTTCATTCTGGATGTCGAACAGAGGTAATCTTCAACTTCCTTCTCCATCTTTCTTCAATTCTTGGATCAATTTCCTCTATTTGTTAATCTATCTTCAATTCCTTCATCAATTTCACTACTCTTTGCATAATCATGAGTGAAATTGTCAACGCCACCCCACTCAGGTTTAAGGCTTCCTTTGACCCTAACATCATCGAGGGTCGAGTCCTCAAATACAGTGTCAAAGACCCGTCGTGCGGTCCAAAACAAATTAAAAATTTATATAATACTCCTTAGCTAACTCCTAGAAAATAATCAAATAAAAACTATAGCTAGGTCAAGTAAAGGTCGATCCCATGATGAAAGTTTGTACTTAAATTTTGAAATCAAATTAGCATGCACACACATTGTCACTAAATAAAACAAACAAACTACACATATGATAAGACGTATAAAACTTATAACTAATTAAATATAAAAATTTATAAATATAACATATATAAACAAAGAACGTTTAAAATAACTTAAAACACTAAACACATATTAAGAATATACTAAAGAATAAAGTATAAAAAATTTATATTTATAACATATAAACAAACACTAATTATATAACTTAGTAAAAAACTTATATTATAAACTAAAACGATATTACAAGGGGGGAGGGTTGTTGGATGAAAAGTGAATATTTTTTTGCTTTTTTTTATAAAATGGGGGAAAACAAGCTCCAAAGATAATCAACTCCTCCAACAAAGGTAACCCAAGAAACACCACCAAGAACCCGAAACAAAATAAAAAAGAGAACACACACAAGTCAAACATTACACGTATTATAGGCACGTAGACAATATATTACGTAACTTACGCACTTAAGAATAGAAAAAATCAATCAAAGGCCGAGTCGATTTATTTCCTTAACCACGCACGATATGGAGGATTGTCAACTCTCTACACGACCCGGAGTCATGCAATTCAAAGGCCCATTTTGAAATATACCTTAGAACTTAACTCACCCATCAAGCATGAAAACATACTTCCACTATAGAAAAAGTTCATAAAAGAGCAAATTTTTTTCATTCAACTCCCATACATAGTTTATTCACAAATCGCCAATACCTTATGCACTTTAATAAACTTTTTCTCCTAATGAAGAGCACATTTCAAAGATTTCCATGAACTTCTCAAACCAATGACATTTTTTCTATTCACATAAATCAACACAACATATTTTCATTAAATTGAGAAATGTTTTTGAGCTTAAACAAACTTAATTTTATGAAAACAACAAACAAACATACGAAAACATAACAATCACTCCATAACGAATTCTAAGAAAAATGAATCAACTTACGGGGCTAAGAAGTCCAAAATCCTTAAATTCAACAAACACAAGCACAACAAAGAATCACGTATGAATCCAGAAATCATTTAACTACCTTATGGAGCTAAAATAGCTTTAACAATAACCGAATTCCACATACAAACCTACTCATGAAATCGAATTATTCAATTCAACTAATTCAACAACTTTCTCAATAATTGAAGAAAACTAGTTTGAATCAATTCTCAATTCATAAGGGATTTAATATAAACATTAAAAAAACCAAAAAAAAAACACCAAGCATTGTATTTAGAATTTTTGGAACAAACTAACAAACAAAAAATGTAAAATTGAATAAATAAAAAAACTTTTACATAGAATTGGAGGAAAAAATAAAAACTGACAAACAAGGGTTACCAATTTGTTGAAGAAGATGATGAAATTGAAGAAATTGGAGCTTGAAGGAGTTGGAGAGCTACAGTTGACCTATGAACGGAGCTTCTGCCGCCGGTCCGCCGTCACCGCGGCCCACCATCGACGGCCACCACCATTACAGCGGCCTGANTCCCCCCCCCCCCCTTTCCATCTTGTGAAGCTTCAATTTATAGAGTGGAGGAGCTAAATTATTCCCGTTGGAGAAATGAATGACGAAATTGATGGATAGACGTTGGAGGTTGTGTTACTTCGACCGCCGTTCCAAAATTGACAAAGAAGGAGCCCAATTTCTCTCTTTTTTTCTTCTTTTCTTCCGTGCGACTAAAGAGGAAGGAGGAGAGGAGTGTTGGGCTACTCTTCTTTTGTTGATTTAATGATGGGTTTTGGCTTCCGACCCAAAATCAATCTATTCTTTTTAAACTTGAACTTCATTTTTTGCCTTCTGCTATATTTTTTTCAGAAAATAAGATATTTGATAATTTGGGTTAGGGAAAAAAGATAAAAATAATAGAATTGAAAAAAATTGATTACAAACTTTAATTTTTGAAAGAAAAATTAAAAGATAGTAAAAATGAGAATTAAATAAAACTAATCTAAACTACTAAAAATTACACTCTGAAATTATTTAAAAACCTAAAAAAGAATAAAAAGAACTAACCCAAAAGAATAAAAAGAATGAACCCAAACACTTAAGACTTGAACGCCCTCGTTCAAAAGACCAAAAAGAAACCAAACTTTTTATCATCTTCAAAAAGAACAAAATGCAACTTACACCCTCACACTTTATGCCCAAAACTTTTTTCAAAACAAAGTGAGCTAAAAATCTTACAAAGATGAAGAGCTATTGATTATTTGGGTTCTAAAAAAAATGTTCTAAAGTTGACACAAAAAAGTTTTCTGAGTATCTATGGTTCAAATGGCTCAATGGCAACGGTAGCAAGGTTTGAAATATAAGCCTAAAAAATAAAAAAACACATACAATTTTCTTTTTTTTTAAAAAAAAAAAGAAAAGTTCTTTAAAACTAGATCCTTTTTCATATTTTAATATCAAGAAAAAGTGGTTAAAATATAATATGTGGATGTCCACTTCTAATAAAACAAAATTCTAAGGGATGCCTAGAATGATTTCAAATTTCTTAAGGTCATTTTACCAAGAAAAAGGGAATAAGACTCAATGTGGGTATAGAAAAGAAACATTTGTCATCTTTCAGAATAAAACTCAAACAAAAAAATGAGGTTTATGGGTAAAATTTAAAAACAATACTCTAAATAAGAAGATATTCAATTAAGAATGAAAAAAAATATTTGGACCCAAAACCTACTGGAAAAAAATGCCCAAAAATCAATCTCCCAAAACAACAGAACAAACATGAGAATCTCCTCCATACTTAAATTATGCATAGTCCTCAATGCATCTATATGATATGCAAATGAACAAATAATGATATAACCAAGAGAATAAGCCAAGAGAGAAGGGGATGGGGAGATTCAACTAAAAAGTATACATAGCATCAATTCATCACTCGATTCACTCCCAATCTTTATCATGCTTTTCTTGGACCTAAAAATCTGGAAAAAGAAGCCTAAGACCAAGTTTTTTAGCATTGAAGAACAAAATTTCAGATTTCAAATATGTAGATTTTTTTTGTTTAAGCACATATAAGCTGTAAAAAGTGTGAAATTTTCATTCTGCACTAAAAAAAACAGCTCACAAAGTGCATATTTTTCAGTTCATAACCCAAAAATCATATTCAGAAGTGCAGAGTTTTTCCATTAGTACCCAAAAATTAGCCTTAAAAGTGCAAAACTTTTAGATTTTTTCATCCCATAAAAGATCAAATGTAAACACCCAAGGCTTTAGAAAATTTAAATTTAAGAGCATACCAATACCCGGGCACTTAGAGTTGCCGTTTCAAATCAGATTTTGCATCTTATGATGCAGATTTTACTCCAATCACCTATGCTTCCACCTAAAACTCAACAAATCTTGCAAAAAGCTCTCAAAGTAGATGGTTAGAAACACAAAAAAAAACAATTAAGCTCATCAAGATAACTTTTTTTGTTGTTTTGATTTTATACTCTTTTTTTTGTTTTCCAAAAACTAAATGAAAGCGAAAAAGGAAAAAAAACTAATCCTATAATTACAATAAGTACTATTACATCAATACGGGAAAAAAGTAAGAAAAATAAGTTGGTTATTAAATGAAAGAGAATAAAAACCAAATTAACCATCACAATGGGAAAAACATTAAGTGCAACAACAAGAAGTTAAAGTTAGAAGTAAGCATAGATACTTTAAAAAAATTAAAAACGCTATAAAAATAAGTGGGTCATGTTAAAAAAAATTATTAAAAAGGGAAAAAAATGCAATAAACAACTATAAGAGAAGAAGAAAAAAAGTACAACAATAACTAGAAGTTAGAAGTAAAAAGAACTTTTTAAAAAAAAGAAAATTGAAAAAAAAAATTAAACAGAAAGTGGGTTTCCTCCCATAAGGCGCCTAGTCTAACGTCAATGGCTAGACAAAACTTACTACTTGCAAAAACATATTCACTTAAGTCATTAAGTAGTAAAGAAAAGTGTGTTTCTTCAAAACACCCCAAAAAAGATGTCAAACAAGAATGCATACTTTGATTTCAACTTCTACTCAAAGAGTAGCACCCTAAGATCAAATGAGAATTAAAAATCAGATTCTCAACGCAATTTGGAACCACAAAACAGATTTTCAACATCACGTTTTGAATTAAGTTTCACTTTGAGTGCAAAATTCACCCTCTATGGATCTAAAATCAACTTAAAAATCATTTTATGTGCTGTTATTATTAGTTCCTAAGCAAAGTTTAGATGTAGAAGCACTCAAGGAACCCAAATTTAGCATGCAAATCACTAAAAGATGTTCTATATATTCTCCCGGGAAAAAAAAGTAAGCATAGATCTGAATTTAAAAAAAACTACACAAAGTTTGTCAAAAGAAGCATATATGTCATGTTCTAAGTAGAATCAACTCATAAAGTCATGTTATATGCTTTTAAAACTAGTTCCTATGCATATTTTAGCAATGGGAGTTCATAATTCAGCTAATAAACATCTAAGGAACTCAAAAATCAGTTTGCACATCAAGAAAAGAATGCAGTTTTTTAAAAAAAACCCTTTATATCAATTTTGATCAAAACTTTGGCCCCTAAAACATTAAAATCAGCATAAACACATCATGGCATGCTTCAAAATATTGTCCCCAAGCAAGATATATCAATTATAGTTCATATTTTAAGCAATGTAGCACTCTTAAGAGACAAAAACAGCATGAGTAGGGCAAATTTCAGAAAAAACAGCACGTACAAATCAGTGTTTCTTGCATATTTAGCTTAAATGCTTCAAAAACACCACACAATTCTTACATAAGACATCCATACATGTACTCTTAAAAAAATGAAGAAATCAGCACAAATGCAACATATATCACCAACTCGATACATAAATCAGAAAAAAAATGCAGAAAGTAGTGTCAAAATGGACTTTTTGTGAAAAAAAAACCTGAAATTTCATAAAAATAGCATTTGGAGCACAAATTCAGCATTCAAGAGAGTCTATGGCTGGATTTAGTTCATTATACCACGCATAACCTCAATACTATGAATTTGCATGTAAAAATAAGTTTAGAACTCAAGAAAAGAGGCTACTACGACATGCTCACTAATAAACAAAAAACAAAGAATACAATGGCATACTAAAGTGATTTCATACAAAATGTTCCCAGGCAACGGTGCCAAAATTTGTTGAAGACCCGTCGTGCGGTCCAAAACAAATTAAAAATTTATATAATACTCCTTAGCTAACCCCAAAAAATAATCAAATAAAAACTATAGCTAGGACAAGGGTCGATCCCACGGAGAAAGTTTGTACTTTTGAAATCAAAGTAGCATGCACACACATTGTCACTAAATAAAACAAACTAACTACTACACATATGATAAGACGTATAAAACTTATAATAAAACTTATAACTAAATAAATATAAAAATTTATAAATATAACTTATATAAACAAAGAGCTTATAATATAACTTAAAACACTAAACACATACTAAAAATATACTAAAGAATAAAGTATAAAGAACTTATATTTATAACTTATAAATAAACACTAATAATATAACTTAGTAAAAGAATTTATATTATAAACTAAAACGATATAACAAGGGGGGGTTGTTGGATGAAAACTAAATATTTTTTTGGTTTTTTTTCTAAAATGGGGGAAAACAAGCTCTCAAGACAATCAACTCCTCCAACAAAGGTAACCTAAAAAACACCACCAAGAACCCAAAACAAAATAAAAAAGAGAACACACACAAGTCAAACATTACACGTATTATAGGCACGTAGACAATATATTACGTAACTTACGCACTTAAGAATGGAAAAAATCAATCAAAGGCCGAGTCGATTTATTTCCTTAACCACGCACGATATGGAGGATTGTCAACTCTCTACACGGCCCGGAGTCATGCAATTCAAAGGCCCATTTTGAAATATACCTTAGAACCGTAACTCACCCATCAAGCATGAAAACATACTTCCACTATAGAAAAAGTTTATAAAAGAGCAAATTTTTTTCATTCAACTCCCATACATAGTCTATTCACAAATCGCCAATACCTTATGCATTTTAATAAACTTTTTCCTAATGAAGAGTACATTTCAGAGATTTTCATGAACTTCTCAAACCAATGACGTTTTTTCTATTCACATGAATGAACACAACATATTTTCATTAAATTGAGAATTGTTTTTGAACTTAAACAATCTTAATTTTATGAAAACCTCAAACAAACATACGAAAACATAACAATCACTCAATAACGAATTCTATGAAAAATGAATCAACTTATGGGGCTAAGAAGTCCAAAATCCTTACAATCAACAAACACAAGCACAACAAAGAATCACGTATGGATCCTGAAATCATTTAACTACCTTATGGAGCTAAAATAGCTTCAACAAAAACCGAATTTCACATGTCAACCTACTCATGAAATAGAATTATGTAATTCTACAAATTCAACAACAACTACCTCAATAATTGAAGAAAACTAGTTTAAATCAACTCTCAATTCATAAGGGATTTAATATAAACATTAAAAAAATTAAAAAAAACAACCATTTTATTTATAATTTTTGGAACAAACTAACAAACAAAAAATGTAAAATTGAATAAAAAACAAATTTTTACATAGAATTGGAGGAAAAAATAAAAATTGACAAACAAGGGTTACCAGTTTGTTGAAGAAGATGATGAAATTGAAGCTTGAAGGAGTTGGAGAGCTACTGTTGACCTCTGAACGGAGCTTCTGCCACCAGTCCGCCGTCGCCGCGGCCCACCATTGCCGGCGACCACCATTACAGCGGCCTGGGCCGCTGCTTGGCCCCCGTCGTTGTTCCCCCCTTTCCATATTGTGAAGCTTCAAAGAGTGGAGGAGCTAAATTATTCCCGTTGGAAAATTGAATGACGAAATTGATGGAGAGAAGTTGGAGGTGGCGTTACTTCGATCGGCGTTCCAGAGTTGACAAAGAAGAAGGAGCCGGATTTCTCACTTTTTTTCTTCTTTTCTTGTGTGCGACACTGCGACTAAGATCATCTGCATTGTTGTATATTTTGGTAGTGTAAAAATAATTTTACACTATTTTACACATCTTCTTTTTTATATTCTCTCCAACCATATCTTCTATATACAATACTTTTATAATATTTTATTATTATACTTTCATTTTACAACCTTTCATATCTACTCTCCTTATCCAAAAATTAATTCCAAATTCAATAGCAGACCTATTACAGCAATTTATCTGAAAGAGGGTTTGAGGAGAGTATCGATTTTGGCTTCCAATTTTAGGGCAGAGCAAATTAAAGAGATGAATAAAATCAGAGGTGAATTAGAGCGCAATTAACCTGAGAGAGAGGTTACAGAGTGCATCAGTTTTGGCTTGAAAAGAAATTGAAGCAAATTGAGAGAGGGGTTGGGAGGAAGAAATTGAAGCAAAACGAGAGGAAGAGCCGAAGAGGGGGGAAATGAAGAAAAAGAAAAGAGAAAACAGTGAATACACTATCTACACTGGAAGTGTAGAAATAGGAGGTGGAATTGATTTTTGCACTATAGTGTTTTTTAGCATTAGGTATACACCATCCGTTGGAGGAGATAAAATAAATACTCCCTCCGTCCAAAATTATTTGTCACATTTCTATTACAGATATAAAATATCAAGTTTTTTCAATTCATTTTATTTACATATTGGTAAATAAATAAAAAATAAAAATTACATATCAAAAAACTATATGAAAAGTTCTTCGAAATAAGAGGTGTCAAAAATATTTTATTTTATCAAATAACCAATGAAAACGTAGAAATAAACAAAAGTTCACGCGACTATTGAAAAAGAAAATGTGACAAATAATTTGGGACGGAGGGAGTAGTAAATTTGATATAGGGTATATTTAACCATATACACATTGCGTTGGAGTTGCTCTAAAGAGGAAGGAGGTTAGGAGTGCTGGGCTACTCTTCTTTTGTTGATTATGATGGGTTCTGAGCTCCGGTCCAAAATCAATTTCTTGTTTTCAAACTTAAACTTCATTTGTGGCCTTCTGCTATATTTTTTTTCAAAAAATAAGATGCCCCGGAGTATTTGATAATGTGGGTTAGCGAAAAATAAAAATAATAGAATTGAAAAAAATTGATTAAAAACTTTTAATTTTGAAAGAAAAATTAAAAGATAGTAAAAATGAGAATTAAAATAAAACTAATCTAAACAACTAAAATTTAACTCTAAAACTATTAAAAATGCCTAAAAAAGAATAAAAAGACTAACCCAAACCCGACTTATCAGAAAGTGACCTTCCCGACGAGGTTCTTGAGCTCATTCTAAAGCAAGGATGGAGCTACTTCCTTTGCCAACAAGCCCCCGTCTCTCCCAACCTTGTTCGCAAGTTCTGTGACTCATTGAAATTTCATAGCGAAGACACTTCCGTCACCGCCCTGGTAGCCGAGAAAGACATTGGACTCAATCTCACCATACTTGGCGACCTCTTCCATCTCGCTCTTGAAGGTCTCAAGACCTATTGCAAGAAGAGATGGATGATCGAGTCTCAATCCTTCTCAAGCGACTTGTGTCTTTGTATTCTTAACGACATTAAATTTATTCCTTGCCTCAAAGTTCAAGGTCTCTCGGCTAATCGGTTTATTCTCCTCAAACTCATCAAGGAAAACCTCGTTCCCGTCCTTAAAAAGGACAAGTTGGTTCGCGTCTATGAATGCACTCTTCTCTACCATCTTCTCACCCACAAAAAGATTACCCTCCCTCATCTTATGCTTCACCATATGAATGAGAGCAAAACCAACCTCAACAAGCCATATGGGATGATCCTCACCTACATCTTCTCCGCGAATGACATTCTTGAAGTCACTCCTTGTCGAGCACGCTACTTTGACATGGAGTACTTTACTCATTGTGGTCTTGTCAAAATTGACGAGACTTTCTACATGAAAAGAGCGTTTCAAGATCTTCCCAAAGTCGTTCGAGTCGCACATGTCCCACGGCGCTCCATGTCTTCTATTCCTTCTTCTTGAGCTCCCACTTCCCATGCTCCTAGCACGGACGAACAAAACGAAGAAGAAGAAGAAAATGTTGCTCCGGCGCCCAAGACCCGTCTCTTGCATCGCTCCAAATCTGCCGCAGCTTCAATGCCTTCTGCACTAGTCCCAAAGCACTCCAAGACGTCCTCCTTTCAAAAAGTCTACAAAAACTTCAAGAACTTCATAATGAAGAAGGTTGTCGAGCCTCAACGCCAATTCCACGAGAATGTCACTTCTCGGTTGAGGTCTCTTGAAGAACGCATGGGGAAGCTTAAAGAACGTAGCAAGGGGAGTGAAGACTGACCAAAAAGGCGTCATTAAATGTTGGGCTACTAGGCAGGATTTGATCAAACATTTGAAACTTCCTTTGTATTCCTTACTTTAAAATGTTTGGATGCTTGGTTATACCTATTACATTTCACTCCTATTTTTATGGATGACTTAACAATGTATTATGGTTATTCTTTTGAAATACCTTGAATGCATATTTTTTTGCTTTGCCTTACTATCCTGCTTTTTTAATGTTGCCAAAATGGGAGAATTCTTAGGCTTTCATATGCATATCTTTAGGGGGGCTCTGTATGCTTAACTCAATTTTTACATCAAAGATATATGCATACACTTAGGGGGAGAAATGTGAATTATATATGAAATATTATATGCGAAGTATGTGTTTGTGCGTTTGTTATGAAACTTTGAAAGCCTTATTTGTCAACATCAAAAAGGGGGAGATTGTTGGTCTTGAATGCCAAAACCTCGTAAATGTTTTGATGTGCCAAATAAGTCTTCCAAAAATCTAACCAACTTACAGGTACAATTCTAAATACACCAAACCTCTCTAAACTTGTTTCGCATCACCGAGAAGATTCCTACGAGTTTAGAAATCAGTGTAAGGGTAATGATGTAATCTATGATTCACTAATGCCCTCTCACTCAAAATATTATTTTTAATATGATAAACATTTTCTTAGTTGGGGTTATCTTGAAAAAGGAACACAAAGAAATGAATTTTGGAAAAAATCCTACAGGCTGACGGTAGCCACTACCGTGCATACGGTACTTGGATACCGAGTACATCCGGCGAACAGACTGAACCTTGGCACCAGCAAAAACTATAGTTTTGGAAACCATTTGAAGTCACATAGTACCCTTAGTGGTAGGCTAGATCATGACCATGATACGCCTGGCGGTAGGACATACCGCGTCCACGGTACCTGTGTACTGGACGATTTCTGGCCTACCAACCCTGGTACTGGAACCATTATAGCACTGTGCAAAAATCTCAAATTCAAATTTGTGTCAACCCAAATCACTCCCCAATGGTCCTAAACATGCCAAACTCAATTTTAACCCTTCCAACTCCTATATAAACCTCCTATAAGTCTCATTTTTCGCACAACAACATCCCTACTCAATCTAAAGCTTATTTCTACATTATTGAGTGTTCCTTCAAGCTTTATTCTTATTTTTTCTTACTATTTTGAGTATAAAGCTTTCATTATTTTTTATACATTCACATACAAGGGCATTTATGATTCATTATTTTATATCCTGCTTATAGGCTATTGTTGTTGTTGATTTTATACTTTGTTCTTCTCTTATTCAACTCATACTGTTGGTAGAGAAGCAACAACCATTTCTATTACTTTGTAAAAGGTGCGGATAGCCTTTAAATCATCATTGTGTTATAAGGTTGAAGATAGCCTTTAAATCTTTGGTTTGTAAGCGGTCGAGATAACCGTTGTAAAATCTCATTTTCTTATTGGCAAGGGTTGTTTGCCAAACATCGTTTGAGTCTTCTTAGTGAAGCCAAACAAGTTAGTGGAGGTTAAATCTTTTAGGAGGAGCCTCGAGGTACTGGAGTAGAGATTTCTCAAACCAGTGTAAAATCGATTGTGTCGTACTTATAATATTTTTACTTTTCTTGCTCTATTTTCGCTATTCTTTTTGCGCCTAAGTAATTGTTTTTATGAAAAACTTTTAAACACCCTAATTCACCCCCTCTTAAGGTGTAACCGATTTTCAAGGATAGTTGAACCAGGTGCTTACAAGGATAAATACATAGTCATTACAAATCAAAAGCATATGAGGTCGCCTGTGGAGCGTCAGTATCCTGGGCCCCTACCTCCTCAATCAAGCGCTCTATCTAGACAGCGCCCTTTCCATGTCCGCCCTTGTGCGTTCTTTCGATTTCTTCCTCAGCATCAGACGATCCCTTTGCTTCCTTATAAGGCACGAAATCAAAGTCTTGAAATTTTTTGCAAGGAGGGGGAAGGTCCAGATCTAGCAGTGAAATCCCCTCGGGGAGTGAAGTGAGCTTGCGACAGAAAACATAGTGAGCTTGAAAAATCCCCAAGTTAAAGGAAAGTGTGCTATGTTGAGCCAACCAGTCAGCCCCAACTTCTGTCTCCAACCACAAGGAGACCAACTTGTCTATCTGACCAAGGGCGGTCGTCTAGAAATCAGGGGAAGTCTTGAAGGTCTCAACCGCCTCTGAAGTCAATGCCCCAGCTCATCCTTCTCTACCTTCAATGCCCTCACGCGAGACGAAAAGGATAAAGCCTCAGCAGTTAGTGAACACTTCTCCCTCTCCAACTTAGCGACGCGGTTATGGAGGACGATGTTCAGATGGCCCTCCTCAAGAAGCTTCTCAGCATAGTGGGTGGCCTCCCCAGCATAGCGGTTGGCTTCATCCTTCAGCTCATGTCTCTGCGCTGCAAAATGCTCCCTCAATTGGAGGTTGGTCGTTCGGGGGATGAGCTCAATCAAATCAAGGAAGCCTTGTGAAGAAAAAGAGGGTGTCAGTGCCATTAGCCATAACGTCAAATAAGGATAAGGAATTTTGAGCACTAACCTAGCCAATATTGAGGAGCATTGAATTTCCCAGGTTGAGGTCGCTACGAGCGGCTAGGGAAGTTTGGTCGGGAAAAGGTAGCGCAATCCAGACAACAGAGATTTATTGAGAGGGAGGATTAGCTCGATTAACTCTATGCCCGCTTCTAGATCAACGGTCGATGATGGCGGAGGACAGACGGGGGACAGTGGTCGTCTGGAGGACTCTTCTTTCTTTTTTCCTTTGCTTGAGGGGGAAGCAGTCACTGTTGCCTGAAGATCAGACCCAAGGGTTGAACCTTCCACTTTCTAAGGGGCATTGTATTTCTCCCAACAGGGGGGACCACGCTTCCTCTTCTCTCCTACGAGCCGGTGCAAGTGGTTCCCCACATCCATATCGATCTATGGTTCAACTACAATGACAATAAAAGGAGGTAGCATCAAGAGATTGTAGCCGGGGGAGCTTATAGAAAGGGCCGGAATGAAGATTCCTCGCTAGAATATCCCTTAGCAAGTTTGGTTGCGATGATCAGCTTTGATGAACTCGAACTCGAGCTCTTCCAGGGATTGTTCGGTTACCAACTTCTCATAACCTTGATTGCCCTCTCGGTAGAGTTTGTTGGTGTCACTCAACAACTTTGCCGTTGGGGCTAGTGCCGGGATGCGATGAAAGGAAGGACGACCAGATCCCGTGAAAGAAATAAAGAAGAAATGGGCTTCCAATCATGATTTGACCCCTTTTTGTGGCTCGTAAAGAGCTTGCTAGATCGTTGGGAGAGGGAAGCATAGAAGGCCCAGTCTCCATTCCCCTTGGTCAGCTTGAAAAGGAAGATAAAGTGGTCAAGGGAGGGGGTAACCCTGGCTGCTAGGACCTTAATTAGGTAGCCCGCAATGCACCCAAAGGAATTGGGAACTAATTGATAGGGGAGAAGATCATGGAGGTTAAGGTACTCGACGATTAGGTCCTGTGTAGGGAAGCGAAGGCCCCACTTCGGTGATTGAAGGTGTACGGTGAAAAACCAGGCGGGAACACACAAAGCTGTGGAGGTCTTGCTTGGCCTTCGAACCTCAATTGAGGATCCCACCATATCAGTGGCGTCGGCGAAATCCTTATTAGATGTTTGGCAATGGCACAATGCCATAATATTTTCATCGAGATCTACCCTAGGGCTAGGTTGTCTAGGTTCGGGGGAAGAATATTGCAGCCTAATCCATTTTTTTGTGTTTACCGCGGTGACCCCACAGGGAGGAGCCACTGTCAGCGGCAAAGCTGATTCAATAACATCGGACAATTGGCCGGGGAAGGATGGCTCGTCCACCCCTTGTCGGATGGAATCAGTGAGTGGAGACGAAGAACTAAGATCGAAACACATGTCAAGGAAGAAGAAATATAACCTGAGGGATGGAAACTCGGGTCGAGGAACAGAGGCGCGATTCAGACAAGTGGCAAGAGAAGAAACCTTATGCGACGACGTGGCGATTTTATTGCGATTGAAGAGAAGTGGAAACGGTGGGCAATGGTGATGGTATTGGGGATCGTGCCCCGCTGGCCACTGCCAAATCAATGGAGATAAGCGGCCTAGACCCGGTAACCAGTAATTGACACGCGGGTGGCATGCGCGGGCCTTTGAAGAACTCTTCATCCCTTAAAGTCGCCCATCTTGAGGCATGTAGAGTTGGGGAGCATGTGATGGGCAATGGTGTTGAGCCCACCTTCAGGCCCATTCCAGAAGCTCTCTACAACCCACAAACCCAACGGAGCCAGCTGAAGATCTGGGCCTGGGGATGAAAGATTGGGCCTGGGCTGACCTGACGTACGGAAATGTCGATTCTTGGTGGACACGCAACCAAGGGAGGAATGCCGCGACACGGAAGAGTGGCGATTTTGAAGGATCTACGTAGAATCATACGCCATTTTGATTCCTTATTTGTTAATTTCCTTAGATGTATGATACGAACCCTATAAATAGGGGAGAGATGCTATTAGCTCGCTCCCTCAAGTAAAACCTAGTAAACTACATTGTACTCTCAGGCTCTAAATATCTAATAATAATTTGACCCGACCTCAGATTCGGATTATCTGGTGAAATTCTTGTACATTATTAGAGTGAAATCACATAAGTCAGTAAATCATGCATAGTCGACATTAACGGAGTGGTGGCGGGACACTGACGTCAGCATTTTTTTGATCGGTGGCCGGTGAAGGGCAGTAAAACATGATGAGTCAATAAATATAAAATTATAAAAAGGGCATTTTAGTATACTAGGATTAATAATTATTAATTAATTAATTAGTTAATTATTTAATTAATTAATTAATTAATTAGTACTAGTTATGGAAATTGAAACTTGTGGTGCTATATAGAAAAATTTATTATGTTTTAGTATTATTTAAATAAATTTCTTTTTAATTAAAGTCTACTTCAGTAGTTGTATCTAATATGTTTGTAATTATATTTAATTTGTTTCAAATCTAATGTGATTCACTGATTCTAAAAAAGGGAGAAATACCAAAGTAGGACTAAAACATTGAAAATATACTAAAATAGAACTTCCATGTTTTTATTCTCAAAATAGGACTTACATTACCAAACATGGTCATATACATTATCAAAAAAGTATAATAATTTGCACATGTGCACTGCCACATTACCAAAATGCAAAGTCACATTACCACAGTGCAAAGTCCTATTCCGAGAAAAAAAACATAAAAGTTTTATTTTGATACTTTTATCTATGTTTAGTCCTATTTAGGAAGATTTCTAAAATAAAAACTTCAAATAAGGAAAAACCTCTAATTCTGCCCTATAAATAACCCACCGGATCTGGTTGTCTCAGTTGCCTTGCCTTTCAATCCCCCTTCCCTCCGGCCAACCGAAACGATGTCGTACGCGTACCTTTTCAAGTACATCATCATCGGGGACACCGGTAATGTTTATTTCTCCATCGATTGGAACCGCTACGCATACGTTTTTCTCAGATTTGCGATTTCATTCGCTGTTTCAGTATTGTTATGATATCGTCGTTTTCGCGATCTTTAATTTATGTTGAAATTACACGTTCGATTTATTTAATTATGCAGGAACTACACAATTTTTTTCTCCAAATAATGAATCGTCTGAATTTTAATGTGTGAATTTGAATCTAGGCAGCGTTCTGTTTCGTTTTGTTTTTCTTAAGGTGTAAGTAATCAAAGAGATTGTTTCAGGCCATTTTTGTTCATCACCCAAGTAATCTTGATCCAGATAGTCTGTGCATGTAGAGAATAAAAGTTTTTGTTCGCTATTCACATTATTTGGCGCTTGGGGATTTTTACCTTAAACCAAATTTAGATAGTTGTTTGGCACTAAAGTTCATACCATATTACCACTTATTTCAGTATAGTTTGGGATTATGGTGATGATGATATATGAATGTATTTTGTGGTACAGGAGTCGGAAAATCATGTCTTCTTTTGCAATTTACGGACAAACGCTTTCAACCGGTGCATGATTTGACCATTGGTGTTGAATTTGGTGCTAGAATGATCACAGTTGACAACAAGCCAATAAAACTTCAGATCTGGGACACAGTTAGTTTCTATCTCCAGCCGAACATTTGATCTATTCCATCGAATTGAATACAATCTTGTAGCTCTCCATTTTTTTGTTGCAAACGGTTGAAGATAAGTTCTTCTGTTTCAGGCTGGTCAAGAATCTTTTAGATCTATTACGAGGTCTTACTACCGAGGTGCTGCTGGTGCACTACTTGTTTATGATATTACAAGGTAGTACTATTTCTGGTGGATTCTTTTAATTTAAATGCTATTTGTACACACCATCTATTTCTACACCAACTTGTACACCACACGCTCGATCAACATTTTATGTTCTCTGAGCTATTTGTTGTCGTTGAGATCAAAAAATTATGTCAGCGTGCACGGTGTACAAATGCACATTAGGTCCTGTATATAAAGCACACATGATCTTTTAACCTGTTAAATTATGTCCAACTGCTCTAGCTGTTTTTCTGTTTATGGATGAGTTGTATCTTTACTGGGTTGTCACTTGTCAGTGACCCAAGGTTCCAAGAAGATAGCGCTCTAATTCCCTGAATATAATTTGATGTTAAAGTAAGGACCAAACTGAAACTCATAATTCCTAAATTTTTGCAGAGTGGTCTATTTATTTGACCAGTAGTCGACTAGATCTTGCTTTAATTCCACTATGTGTGATTAATTTTTAGACCAAGTGCTTAAGTTATTGCAATTGTACCATTAATGTATGACACAGGTTTCAATTGTGCCATTAGACCAGTTTCATAACAAATACATTACGATTATTTTTGGTACTTACATTCTATGGATAAAATTATTTTAGGCTTGATTTTCTGTTGTTTCTTGAGTAAATTTCTAAAATGGTTAATTCTAATAAGGTATTTTTCCAAATAAGTCCTCAATAAGGTATAATTACCAACGTGTCACTTTATAATTAGGATTTTTTCCCTAAATAGTCTTCCGAAGAAAATGTCACTTAAATGTTGATTAAGTGGAGGGTATTTTGGTGTTTTTCATCATCTAAACTTAGAGTAAGTTCTGAAAATGATCATTTCAAATGAAGTGTTTTTCCAAAATTGTCTTTTCTAATTAAGGAGATGTATTTGATTCAAATTTTAAAATATTTTGACATATTTTTTATAATTCATGAATTATGTATAGTTAATAATTGTTTTTATTGTATAGAAATGACCATTTTAAGAATTTACTTTAAGTTTAGATAATAGAAATGCAAATATACCCTACAATTAATCGTCATTTAAATGACATTTTTTACGAAGGACTACTTTGGGAACAAATCATAATTATAACATACCATATTGGTAATTAGAACTTATTGAGGACTAATTTGGGAAAACACCTCATTAGAAAGGATTATTTTGGGAATTTACTCTTGTTTCTTTTTTAGTATTTGATTTCTCACTCCCTTCTTTTATTCTTAGACAATTTATCGCACCTTTATTTTGGTGGGGAAGGAGATTGGGAAATGGGAAGGGTATTATATTGGTAACCTCTTCATGTCCTTTTTGAAAGGAGATGGATTTGAATCCTTGCGCTCCTTGCAAAAAAGAGAGAGACTGCCACTGAACTACTTGCCACAAGCTAAACATTCTTACTCCGTATTGGATTTTAGCTTCATTAATTTTAAATTTATCAGGAGGGAAACTTTTAATCACCTGGCTAGTTGGTTAGAAGATGCAAGGCAGCATGCAAATTCAAACATGACCATAATGTTGATTGGAAACAAGTGTGATCTTGCACATAGAAGAGCTGTAAGCACAGAGGAAGGCGTACAGTTTGCCAAAGAGAATGGTTTGTTATTCATGGAGGCCTCTGCCAAAACAGCACAGAATGTGGAGGATGTAAGTAATGTCTTTTACACAGTCACCAGCAGTTCTTTGGACTTATCTCCAGCATTCCTTTTATAATCTAATTTGAATTCCCAAAAACAGCAACAGACGGTTCGAGATAAAGCTTATGCCTTTTTCCCTTCTTGCAGGCGTTCATTAAAACGTCTAATACAATATATAAGAAGATTCAGGAAGGCGTATTTGATGTTTCAAATGAGGTAACCATGTGTAGGCGTGTAGCACTTCAATATGTTATACTGAGTACTTCTAAATATTATACTCCATATATCCCCAAAAAAGAGGTGTATCTGAACACTAATATCTGTCCAGCGAGTCCTATTTGAACCAAAAAAAAGAACTAATTTTCATTATATTTATGCATCTTTCTTTTTTCAATAAACCAAAGCCTCAAAGATGTTAAATTTAGTAATATCAGCATATATGTTTAAAATATAGTTAGATTGAGAAGTGAAGATCTCTACTTCATTTAAAAACTGTACCTTGGCGAAACACGATTCTTAGTTTGGGATTGAGGTACTAATAGTTAACACCCCTATTCCAAAAGTGGATTACATGCTCTTCTCCTGAGAAGCGCATGTTGAGCTTCATTTTCATCTTGTAAGCATGTCTCCTTTGTCACATTTTGCAGTCGAACGGAATAAAAGTTGGGTATGGGGGCATCCACGGGACATCCGGTGGAAGAGATGGAGCTGCCGCTCAAGGCGGGGGTTGTTGCAGTTGAAAGACAGGAGTTGCCGTCTCATGTAATCATATTATACTAAAAAACTCTCCGTTGCTGTTCATCTGTCTGTTTCGCATTTCCTTCTGTCCATTGTTCAAAGCTTGTCTTGTCTGATTGTTTTAGTTACCATATGTCCAAATATGAATTGCATCAGTATATAATGAACTGGTTCGCCCTCCCACTGTGTCATGTGCTGTGTTATTTCACACTATCAATTGTGAATAGAAAATCATTCGAAATGATTATTGGTTTTTATTTAGTACTTCTCCGTACTGTGTAGTACTCTGAAATAACAAACTTCGTAGTACTGCAAATCTGCAATTATATTCATTGTTACAATGCAATTGGCTCGTTCCCATTTGTTGTTTACCTTGAATTTTATTCATGGACCTGTTGTTTCAAGTAATCATGAAAAAATTAAAATAAACTTGCACCTATTTACCTTGAATTTAGTAATTATGCTTCAAAATATGGATAAAAATAAATATTAGATGAACATATCAATGTCTGACTGGAGTAATATTAACAACGTTGTCAACTTATACCCAATTATAAGAACAGCATACCATCCTTAGTTTCATGCTTTTATTAAGGAGTACCCAAGAATCGAGTACGGGACATGCAATCTCCCTTTATTATATTACATACTTTCCTGCAGGTTTATTTATAGACCATAGATTTGAACATGAAAACTCTTCCAAACATGAACCTAAGAAGCTCCGAACATAGAACAACTTGTATCACGCAACAAAAGCGAAGAGCTAAATCCAAGCCTCGAAGAACCCACATCAAACTCGAGCAAATGATTCTCCATTTGATATCCGCCCACAACTATTGAGGTTATCAGGCCGGCACGACCAATCCCTCCATCCACAAACGCAAGACACGTAACATTTTCGCTAACTTTAACCATGGAATGGGATCCATAAAATCTCCAATACACATTCTTGTTGTGCAAGACAAAGTCAATGGTTGGCACTTGGGGGCCTGTTTTGGAGTCCATTTCCATAGTTTTCGAATCGAAGCAGGCCCCAAAAGGATCCACAGATGCAACTCTTTTGATGTTCTTATTAGATTCAACTGCCTTCACGAATTCCGTGATCAAAGAATTGTATATAGAGCTATGGAGAGTAGTATACGGTCTAACGGTTCGTATACTCGTGCCTCCCGCCCCAGTTTTCGCGTTGATGGAGAGTAGGGTTTTGTTGAGAGGGAGGGTTTTGTCACCAACTTTGATGGACTTGAGGTTGATGAAATATTCAACACTTAAGTTGCCTGTTTGTTCTGTAGGCCAAGTGGCCACAGGATTCTTTATCAATGGTGTGGTGTGAAGTGATTTCGAGATTTCTCGAAACGAGCCATCGTATGCCCCTTGACCGATGATCATCTTACCGTGATTCCCCAAGGAGGGGATGCAAAGCGCAAATTTCTCAGGGATCCTGTAGTTTGACACGAGTTGGGCCGGTAAGGAAATCTTGGTCAAACCTAGTCCCACTACTCCTGCAGTAGGACTAGCTAGACCTTCTCTTAAAACGGGGTCCGAAAACTGGAACGAAAATTTATTTATCTTGTACTGGGCCCCACTCGTGGAGGTCACACGTAAAACATCTTGTCCCAGGCCACTGTACCCCAGGGTGCCGGTGAAGGGGTTCGGGGCATAGTCCGAGCACGTGTTATTGGTGCACCCAGGGACCGGAGGGGACTGGAAACAGAAGACGCAACCGACCCCATTGGCGATCCTGCATTGTTGGGTTCCGCATAGTATGGGACGGTAGGATGAGGCTGAATTGAAATAGTCGGCAGAGTTGAAGTATAGGAGCTTGCCGCCGAGGTCAATAACGACATTGAGAGTGGTGGCGTTGGAACCTATTTGGATGGTGGTGTAATATTGATTGCTTGTGGTGTCTTTGTTGATGGGAAAAATGAAGGCTTGGGGTCGTGGAGGGTTTATTTGAGCACAAGACAGAGAAAATGATATAAATAAGGAGACTAAGAAGATTAAGAGAGTAGAAGGGGCCATCTTGTGGAGTATTGGTGTATAGCTTGATTGCCCATATTGATCTGATCGATGTATGTGTATATATACCCTACATCCACTAGTGGATTGAATTAGAAAAACGAGCTTCTATTAAATAATACGGAGTAATAAAAAGTGTTGAAATACTGGAATAAATTGACAAAGGTGGCATCATGGCATGCCAGCAAACCATCGTTATCCGATCTCCTAGTATACTCGGCTTGGGTCAACATTTTACACCTTATTTGAACGCATAAAGCTATTTGTATTCCATTTTATACACTGCAGTGATGCACCAATATTTTGTGTTAGTGTAAAGCTAATTTTTGTTAACATATCAACACTATGTGTCAGTGTAATTTTTTGTTAATGCACCAACACTTTGTGTCAGTGTGAATCATCAAAATGTTAGTTCATACCTTTGGTGTACAAAAGAGGTACAAATTCTGAGATACATGTAGCATGCTCCTATTTGAACACATATTGGTCAAAACAACTTTTTTTTAATAAAAAAAGACCATCTCCAACCATATACATCACATTCAAATTAAATAATAATACATCTCTAATCATTATGCTAAATTCAAACTCAATAAAATATTTTCATCATATATTCCTTTTCTTACTATTTTTTATATTTTTAAAATGTTAAAAATTTATTTATCAATTTTGAAATTTGCCCCCGGCCAACTTATTTTGAAATTCGAGCAAACTAAATTAACGCAAGATATTAATTTATTAATAAATTTAATTTTTAGTAAATTTCAGCATTTTAATTTTTTAAGTTTATTGTTATTTTGCGGAATATATTTTAATATCTCAAGGAAAACATATTCAATAATAGTAGTTCCCTTAAACAAATCTTAAATTAAATATATAGTGGAGTATCACAATCTTGTAATGGAGTATCACAATTAACCCGAACTACTGCTCATAATCCCTTCACTCACTTGGCACACAATGATTGAATTATTTTTATTCGTTGAAATTTTCTATGTCACCGTGTAACATTCTATTTTTGTCTCGTCATTGCTAATGCTCTAAGAAAAAAAGAAATAAAATGAAATGCAATTTCTTGGGAGGAGAGAGTAAATACTCAAAAAGTATTTGGATTCGGGGTAGAGTGATGCTTACATGATCTCAATGTTCATATTTAAAATGTGGACCTTCTCACAATTTTAATGGGCATGTATGTGAATATATTTTTTTGCAAAAGGCTTCTTCTTTTAAGCTACAAATTTTAAGGCCCGTTTGGTGAGTTTTGGAGATATGATAAGATATGTGTTATGAAATCAGAGAGAAATGATATGAGTTTTGAAACATGAAACGAATTTGTTTGGAGAGATTTAAAATTATGATTTAATTAGTGATAAGAGAGGGTGACTGGCAACGGAGATGGTCATGGGTGACAATGATATTCGGTGACGAAGAATGACCAATGGTTGAGAGAGATATCAACCCCCCGTATTGATATCTTCCAAATTCGGGAGATATCGAAATTCTCTATTTGAAGGATTTATGATACCTGGAATATCAAATTCGATATCTTTTTTGGCTTCACTAAATACCAAAAAAGAATTCTGATATCTAAATATTTCAAAACTCATATCTTGTTTGTTCACCAAATATACTAAAGTGTATACAATGAACATGGACCTTAGGACTCGGAGGAGTTTGCCTTCGGACTTGGGAGAAGGGTTGGAGGAAATACGGCCGCAACAAGACTTCAGATTTGGAGATGGTCTAAAAACCCAAAGTAAGAAACTACTCAAGACTTATTAATTCTTTTATATATTAAAAGAAATAATAGAAATTATGCAAGCATTTGTGATAAAAATATGTCTACATTTCTCTCTCGAAATGTACAATAAAAAATTAAAATTTTTATTTCGTCCGTCTAAGAATAATCTTACCACTTTGACTTTAAACGTAAATTAAGAAAAAGTAAAAAATATTTTGACTTTTCATATTTGTCCTTTGATCATTGTAAAAAGTGAAATAAAGTACGTATAGGTATGAATAATAATCAATGAGTAAATGTGAGGGTAGTGATGTAGTTTAAAGAAAAAGCATTTACCAAAAAAAATGTAAAGATAATTTACAGACAGACAAATAAAATATCTGAGACGATAAATTATGAACGGAGGGAGTATATAATAACATCTAACCTGTCTAATACACTTTTTAAGGAAACAAACTCTATAAGAAAACTTAATCTGAAACAATAATGACCATACTTATAATTTATCTACCAAATCAATTATACTTCAATTCGTAATATGATTCTTTTGTAAACATCCCTTTAGTTGGAGCATGTAATAAATTAATGCCCAACTTGAAAAGTAAATTGTCAAAACTGGCCTTGCCAAGAGCCTTAATTTCAGGATTTTGGAGTGTTGGACGAGCATCAGTAGGATGACCTTCCAAGCAACACACTCCATAAGGTTTACGCTTGCTACTCCTTACATTACTCACAAGTCACAACAAGTTTGGAGATTGCGTCACTTTAGGGAGACAACTTATATTCTAAAGAAGATGAATTTCCTATCTTGCTAACCAGCCTCATAATAGTATCTCTAGTTCCAAATTGATGGTGTTTTCGACAATCATATTAAAAAACCTCTGTCGCTTGCACAAGGGGTTTTGTTCACTAATGCACCACTACTAGCGGCATAAAAAAGGCCCCTCTCGGTAGGCAAAACTCCTTCATAAAAATATTGAATTAACAATTATTCAATGATTTGATATTGAGGACAAGAAAAACCATGCTCATTGAAATGCTCCCCATATTCAGAAAAATTCTCCCATTCAACTGCTTAACCCCACAAATCTCTTTCCTAATTGACCCAATCCTAGATGCTGGAAACTTGTTATCAAGAAAGGCTTTATGAAGGAAGGTCATTCCATGTGGTGAAAGATCTAGCTGGCATATAGTATAGCCAGTCTTTGGCCTTCTCGGAAAGGGAAAAGGGAAAAGGGAAAGGTTGTAACGTTGATTTGGTTTTGGGAGACTCCTTCAGGCACCATTGCACCACAAGTGATCATAAATTCAGATATGTGCCTAAAAGGATCCTTTTCAGGAAGACAATGAAACGTCGAAAGAAAATTGATAAATCTAGTATTAGGTTTGAGGGGGTTTTCCAACTCACCATAGATGATCGAAAGAGGTTGAATGGTCATATCTCTAAGAGCTGGGTAAGGGGCTGCCTTTCTAGAACCAGATTGATGATCTAAAGTTGATTATTCAAAATAAGATTCACTTATGTTTTGCATGCATACACTCACAGGTGTAATTTCATGTAATGTCCCAAAATATACCCTAAAATTATTACCGAATTATTATTCAATTAAACAAATTTATTTTGATTCAAATAAATTATTGTTGGGCTTTGGGCCGAAATGAAATATGTTTTGAGATCAAATATCACAGTTTGGATAAGTCTCATAGAAATAAATCCAATATGTTGACTATTTGTGTTATTTTGATTGCGAACTAGAGTACAGACCCAAACTAAGAATAAATAAAGAATTTGTTTGTCATGTGAACTTTGAAATCATTTATTTAAATAAATCCTGAAATAATGTAAATTAAATGTAAGAACTATTATGAACAATGGTCAATTAAATCAATTTTGACTCTGTCAAAGTCAAACACAAAAAATATACCATGTCAAAAAAAGTATTACAAATAAATATAAAAGTTATATCGTTGGATAGTGTTTGACTATCTCATCACAACGATGCAAACAGATTTCAATTTGGAGAAAGTTGGACAAAAAACGTACCCCGACTAGAACCAAATTAGTCCCAATCGGGGAATGACACAATTAGAAGTGAATCGCTGCCCAGCGCACTAAGGATATTTACCAATCGAGTGACTCAACTCCATTGACTTCTTCCTCACCTCTCCACTATATAAACTCCCCAAAACTTCACCATTCTTCACCATTTTAACTCTTTTAGAGAGCTGTGAGAATAGAGAGCAAAGTAGTGTTGTCTAGAGAGCTTCCCGTCGCTGGAGCAAACCATGATAGTTGCTGAAAGTTCCGCCGTTCAATTGCCGAAATCATCATTAAGCTTCGAAGTAATCCATTAGATATATCTAGTGACTAGAATGTTCATATAGATTGTTTCTACGTTCATAAACTATCGTGTGGTTAAGTTTTGTGTTTGACATGTTCAAAGAACCAAGAATCATAAACCTTGAAATTGTTGTTAGAACTACGATCTAGTGATACGAAACTGATATATGAACATTGGAGAGCATTTTCATATAGTTTAATGAAGTTCGGTGACTAAAAATGATATTTTAGAGAATAGACCCGAGGAAAAAGACGATGGACACTGCACAGTAACATACTACCGCTGGCTTGGTAGCTTGGTATCGTTCAAATGAACCCAACTATCGCCAGAACGGTAGCAATGCTACTGTCGACCGCTGCTTCTCTGGCGGTACCTGATGCCAGGCGGTATCCTGTACCATCTGGGTGGTACCGAGGTACTGTGCTCCGATACTAAGGTACCGTGGGGGATACCATCCGACCTGATATTTTTTCAGAAAACCCAATTTTTGAACTATTAAATCAATTATGATCAATGTAAATATGATTTCTGGAAATAAATGTAATGTTTTGACGAATTCAAGAACCTTCTATGATGCATGACGGTAAGCTAGAGTGTTAACACTCGAAGCTAGGTCGTACTATGATGAATATTATTGATTGATGATTATGATGAACATTATTGATTGATGATTATGATTATTAAATTTTGTTGAACATTCTGGTTAAAATGACAATTATGAATATTTGATTGGAAATGAATACATTGATGATTATGAAAATAATGTGTATTGTTAAAGGGTATCTAGAAGAACTCTTGGATATACCCATTTAAATAATTGATGTTGATTATTAAGGATATCTAGAAGCTCTCTAATATATACCTATGTGACCAATTTGGCAATCTGGGGTTAAAACGTACGTACGAGATCTGAAGTAAACTCGAGGATCACTCATTTGGGGATATCACCCACCCGACAGTTCACTATTCGGTTGGTACGTGATCCATAAGACTTGTAGGATGGATCATCAATTCTTGTGTTCTACCTTAAACTATTTATATTTTAAGAGCCCGATTAGAAATATTGCCTTATACTAAGAATAGTATAAGAGTTTTGTTATCAAAATGATTTGGCCTTAGATTAAAAATAATTTAAGAACACTGTTGAAACACTAAATATTGAATATTGTATATATCATGAAATGACTTGAATTAAAATATTGTGAATATCATGAATGATGAATGCTTGAAATGCATATTATGTGCATGATATCAAATGATTTGATTATGAATTGAGATTCAGTTTATATGAATGTTCGATGCACTATATATTCTTACTCAGCTTCAACGTTGAGCATGTAGTATATTTTATTTCTAAATGCAGGTAAATAGAAAGAATGATATGACATAACCCTGGCGGCAGACGGAGGCGAGATTATCGGGATGTATGTGATGGTTTTGAATTAAAGAACATAAAATTAATTATGTTTTGTGAATGTGATTTGTTAAGCTTCCGTAACATTGAAAAACTCCATATTGTTACTTTTATAAATAGTATTCTTGTGATGAATAAAAGTGTTTGGAAATGTTTTAAATTTTTACAATTACCAAGTTAATACTTTAGTCTGAAAGGAGCTGCAGACCTGGTTTTAAAACCGATCTTCAGATCAAAATTTGATTTAAGAAAATGTCAATCACATCCACAACTCTCGCATCCCTCTGCTCCAGGAAAGGTAATCCGATTCACCTTCACTTTCTTCACCATTTACCTTACCACTTATCAAACGCATAAATAGAAGTTGTAAAGTGGCAAATGAATGTAGTATCAGTGTTTCTTCAATACACTTTAAAGAATGATAACCAAAAAAGTATTCAAGTTTCAACTTTGTATCAATTTTTAGACCAAACAAAGCACATTAATTCTCAAATAAGAAAAAAAACAGATTATTTGTGCAAAACTAAACTCAAAAATCAAATTCTAGAATTAAAGTTTTAATCAAATTCTAGTTTTGCGATCCATGTTTTTGTCCATACAAGCTGAGTACATCCAAATTAGTTCCTATGATTAGGAGTAATAGAGTTCAAATTTCAGCAATTGGGCTTTATAGGAACACAAAACCAACTAAGATATCAAGATAGAAGGTTGGTAATTTTTTTCAGATCAAGATTTTCTTAAAATCAACATTTTATGCATTAAAAAGCTAAGGAGCCCATAAAATTATGTATTTCTTTTAAAAATTATCTCTAAGAAAGATATATCAATCATAGGGCATATTTCAAGCAAATGAGGATTTTAGGGGATAAAAATTAGCATGCAAACACCGAGGGAGCTCGGTCTCGTGCCAACTTTGTGGCAAACCTTGACATGCTGCCTGGAATTGTTGGTATCGCTTTGATGAATCATACTCTGGTCCCCTACAGGCTTATTACACAAATCAATCGGGACAGTGACGCAAATACTCTTGTGGCTTCTAATTTCTTTAGGCTACAAAAATCTTGTCCATATCAAGGTACCAAATCTATCACCACTGCAAGAGGTAATACATTCCAAATTAACCACAAAGGCTCAAGTATTCTAGCCACCCCTCGCCACACTTTTCAACTACCTAACCTATTTCATTCACCCAATATTAATTCTCATCTTCTCTCTGTACACCAATTCAGAAAAATAATAATTATTCCCTTCTTTTTACCTCTAAGAATTTTAAAATTATTGACAACAAAACCAACAAAGTGCTCTTCCAGGACCCCTGTGAGCGTGCTTTGTACTCACTTCCTTCCTCCAGTTTGTCAATGCAGTTAAAGTCACGCCTCATAAGTAGTTCAAGTTAGTTACCAAGTCTTTACTTTAAAAATTAGGCTTAGATTTTAAAACATTGATCATTGTAACTCCTATTGTGTTTCTAAGTCTCATAAACTCCCCTTCCCAGTGCCTAAAATAAAGGCCTCTGAACTGTTTAAATTAGTTCCTTCGGATGTCTAGGTTCCAACTTCCATACCCTCTTTTGCAGGCTATCATCCTCTAGAAAAATAAGTATGATGCATATGATGCGTTTCTCAGTTTTCAATCTACGGTTCAGAATCAGTTTTGCACACATATTAAAACTTTTTGAAATGAGAATGGTCGAGAGTATGTCAATAAAAAGTTTTTCATGTTTCTACAAGGGTTAGAGATTCTACACCAAAACTCTTGCCCTTATACTTTTGATCAGAATGGTGTTGCTGAGCGCAAACATCATCACTTAGTGAAAACTTTTGTGACTCTTCTTGTAACACTCTAATCCGTCCAGGTTTACAACCCCTTCCGAACTAAAGTATTAACTTGGTAATCGTATAATTTAAAACATTTCAAATAACTTTATTCATCATAAATGAAATTCCAAACATAATTGTAGTAAATACGGAGTGTTTAATGCGGAAGCGATTTTTAAACATGATTCATAATAACATAATCATTTATTTTCTCAATAAATCCACCACGACTGTCTCGCCCCTTCCGCTGCCAAGAACATGCCATTCACTCATTCTGTCTACCTGCGTGTAGCAAATAAAACATACTACACGCTCAGCGATGAAGCTGAGTAAGCATATCTAAAGCGTCGAACATCCAAATAAATTGAATCTCAATTCATAATCAACCATTTGATATCATGCACACAATATATGATTCAAACATTCATGATATTCTCAATATTTTATTCCAAGTAATTTGATATTCAATATCTCAACCATGCTCTTAAATTATTCTTAATCTAAGGCCAAATCATTTTATAACAAGCTCTTAGATATTCCTAGTCTAAGGCAACATTTCTAACCA